TCACATCTAGAATATCACATCTGAATCCAGAACATCATCACATCACACCCAGAACATCAACACATCTGAACCCAGAACTTCACATCTGAAACCAGAACATCACATCTAACCCCAGAATATCACATCTGTGCCCAGAACATCACATCTGAACCCAGAATATCATCATATCACACCCAGAATATCACATCTGAACCCAGAACATCACATCTGATCCATGAACATCATCACATCACATCTGAACCCAGAACATCATCACTACACACCAAGAACATCACATCTGAACCCAGTACATTATCACATCACATTTGAACCCAGAACATCATCACATCACACCCAGAACATCACATCTGAACCCAGAACATCACATCTGAACCCAGAACATCATCACATCACACCCAGAACATCACATCTGAACCCAGAACATCATCACATCACACACAGAACATCACATCTGAACCCAGAACATCACATCTGAACCCAGAACATCATCACATCACACACAGAACATCACATCTGAACCCAGAACATCATTATATCACACTCAGAACATCATTACATCACACCTGAACCCAGAACATCATCACATCACACCCAGAACATCACATCTGAACCCAGAACATAATCACATTACATCTGAACCCAGAACATCATCACATCACATCTGAACCCAGAACATCATCATAGCACACCCCAGAACATCACATCTCAACCCAGAACATCACATCTGAACCCAGAACATCATCATCACATCACATTCGAACTCAACACATCATCACATCACACCCAGAACATCACATCTGAACCCAGAACATAATTACATCACATCCGAACCCAAAACATCATAACATCACACCCAGAACATCACATCTGAACCCAGAACATCATCATCATCACATCACATTCGAACTCAACACATCATCACATCACACCCAGAACATCACATCTGAACCCAGAACATAATCACATCACATCCGAACCCAAAACTTCATAACATCACACCCAGAACATCACATCTGAACCCAGAACATAATCACATCCCACCCAGAACATCATCACATCACATCCGAACTCAACACATCATCACATCACACACAGAACATAATCACATCACATCTGAACCCAGAACATAATCACATCACACCCAGACCATCACATCTGAACCCAGAACATAATTACATTACATCTGAACCCAGAACATAATCACATCACACCCAGAACATCACATCTGACCCCCGAACATCATCACATCACATCTGAACCCAGAACATCATCACATCATTAGTTAATTAATTTATTTATTTGACATGGACATCACAACTACACTGGACAACCAAATGCATTTGTTTAAGTGTTTGAGCAAACTTGCTAATTCTCAACACCTGTCCACAGGAGGCTTAAAATCGACAAAATAGAAATATAATAAAACAAACACAACATTACAATTCTTTACATAAAATTACTGCAGGCAAAAGCAAAGGCGACATGATCCTACCAACTAACAGTAGAGTATTTGTGCAAACACTGCTGTTTTGTTTGAACCACTTTTTAAGAGCACTGCTAAAAATATTTAGATGACTTTCTGATTTTAAGCTGATCGGTAAATCATTCCATCGTTTGGCTCCCTTTACAGAGAAGACAGATTGACCAAACGAGGTCTAACACTTCGGCACTAGACAGTCACCGTTAGCAGTTGCCCGTGTGACTCTGTGGGAGGTTTGATGCCGATTGATTAGCTCAGAAAACAGGATTGGAACATGATTATTTACACATTTAAAAACCAATGTAAGATAACTAAATTGAATAAAACGATCAAAACTAAAAAGGTTTACATGTTTACATAAAACATCACACTGATGCCAGCGCATAGGCTTTAAGTCCATTATTTTAACTGCTTGTTTATTTATTGAGTCAATAGGCTTCAATGTAGTTACAGAGGCTTGTGACCAAGATGTAATGCAATAAATCAATGAGAGAATATCATTATGTGCATGTATAATTTTGCAGTGTGATATTTAGGACAGATATGTGCGGATTGGGAAGTAGCACATCACATATGAAACAAGAATATATCATTTAAACCCAGAACATAATCACATCACATCACACCCAGAACATCACATCTGAACCCAGAACATCAGCACATCACACCCAGAACATCACATCTGAACCCAGAACATCATCACATCACACCCAGAACATTACATCTGAACCCAGAACATCATCACATCACACCCAGAACATCACATCTGAATCCAGAACATCATCACATCACACCCAGAACATTACATCTGAACCCAGAACATCAGCACATCACACCCAGAACATCACATCTGAACCCAAAACATCATCACATCACACCCAGAACATCACATCTGAACCCAGAACATCATCACATCACACCCAGAACATTACATTTGAACCCAGAACATAATCACATCACACCAAGGACATTACATCTGAACCCAGAACATCAGCACATCACCAAATCTGAACCAAGGACATCACAATTGAACCCTAGAACATGATCACATCACACCCAGAACATCACATCTGAACCCAGAACATCATCACATCACACCCAGGACAATACATCTGAACTAAAAACATAACATCTGAACTCAGAACATCATCACATCAGACCCAGAACATCACATCTGAACCCAGAACATCATATTTGAATCCAGTACATCATTACATCCCACCCAGAATATTGTCACATCTTAACCCAGAACATTACATCTGAACCCAAAGCATCACATTCAAAGCCTAGAATATAATCACATCACACCTAGAACATCACATCTGAACCAAGAACATCACATCTGGAAAAAAAAAACTTACCGTAACCTTAATCTATCTGAACTCAAAACATCACATCTAAACCCAGACCATTACATTTGAACCCAGAACATCATCACATCACACCCAGATCTCAACATCTGAAATCTAGAACATCACATCTGGATAAAACCTTACCCCAAGCCTAATCTATCAGAGCTGTGCCACTGGTCAGATTTCCTCATGTCCTTCATCACTCAGCTGTCCTCACATCTGCCGCACTTCACTGCTGTCTGCTGGTGTGTGTGTGTG